GAATATTAAATATTTATAACCCCCACAATAAATAAAATAAAATAGCCAAAATAAATAAATAAATAAAACGGTTAAATTTTTAAAACATTTTAAAATTCCAACACGTTGCTTACTAGGTACACTAAGTATCTAGGTGAAAGAGGAAGAGAGAAGAACCTTGTAGCACAAAGTTGACTGTTTGACAGCATGAGCATTGAACATGCCTGGCTCCTCGTGGATATTTAAGCAGGCGGCGGCAAGAACCACAAACCATTTAAGCTAATTTTGCATCACAATTAGATAGCTCATCAGGCGAGAAAACCTTTCACTATGTATAAAACCTGAGATGAAAGGATCTATGGAACATTCTTCTGAGGAATCTAAAGATCAACATAATACATTTAGTTATTCAGCGGTCCCAAAAATTAGTATAGATGCTGGCCAGAGGTAGGCACTACTGTATAATTTCTAGTACAAGGGGTCGAATTTCTATATTAATTTGGTACAGCCGATCAGCTACACTCTGTTTGTTCCAATTTTTTTAAAATAAATAGTATAGCCGATCGGCTATACTCGGTTTTTAAATATTTTTTAAAGATATAGTCAAGCCGGGCGGCGATACTCGGTTTTTTATTGTTTTTAAAAGAAATAGTATAGCCCCCCGGCTATACTCGATTTTTTTAAACTTTCTTAAAGAAATAGTATAACATTCATATGTATACCTCCTCCGTAGATAAATAGCATTCATATGTATACCTCCTCCATAGGTAATTTACCTATCCATACCTAATTAACATTTATGTATATTCCTAGTCCATAGATAATTATACCTCCTCCATTGGATTGTAAGAAGAAAAAGAAGAAAGAAGAAAGAAGAAGAAAGATTATAGAAAATTTATTGATTTATTTTTTGTATCAGCGCATGTTGATGGGATATTCAAAATTAAAATGGATAGACACAAAAATATTTTAAATTCTATCATAAGAATTGGACTTATGCTGAATTATTTATTTTATCTACCATGATCTACTTGACTTTTGTTCTCCACATGACGCCTAATCCAACGGATTTAAATTGGATACATCTTCCTTAAAATAAAAACTCAATTTACTCTAATTTTTTAAATAAAAAAAGCCCCTAACTTGACTAACGCCTAAACTTAACGGCTGTAGCAGTTTTTTTTTCTCTTCTTCTCCCTTCTCTGCACGTCTCCCCCCACCCCCAAATCAAGGCATTTAAATAACAATGAAAACCTTTTTGAGTATATAGAAAAAGACCACAGTGAGAAAATTAATTGTGGTATCTTACACATCAAAGGCATGACAACAGCCTCTCCATAATCAATTACATTCTCCAACTTGGATTTTCCATGATTTTCTTCTTCTTTAACAATGGAGACAATCTTCCACTCCTTTACCTCAACTTCTTTAACAATGTGGTTTCTAAAATGTACAACGGACAATCGTCCAATTCGAAACTATTGTTTGCACATGCCTGCTCCATAAATGACCCTGTTAGGCGTCACGATGTCCTTGCTGGTTATCCAGTAATGTTGGTAAGTAAGCAGGCTGCAGTTTTTCTGATATTGCTGTAAAATAGAAAGTAAATTAAAGTCCATTATGACACTGAAATTGCAATGCAGAGCCAAAACAGAGGAAGTCAAATACTCAGTAGAATTCATAAACAAACCAGCAAACCTACAACTTCTTTCTTGACGGGTGCTTCACCATCATCTACACAGAAATATGCTCATGCGTATACAGAATGCATTGGTATATACGCAGAAATTTGTTTATGCAAATTGGAATGTTTTTTGTTTGGTACAACTTTCAACATCATTAAAAACTTGTAGTAATAGTTGAGGCACTATAGAATTCAAAAACGAATTCAGAGAGCAAAGTGACATTTAGATAACAGTTTAGTGTATATTATATCTTCATTTCACGATGATAATAATATTGTGGTTATATATGTTAGAACAGAGTGCTTCTAAACATTGCTAATATTGTGGCTGTGGGTTCCATTTTCCACATGTGCTTCTAAACATGATGATAATATTGTGGTTCATGCTAATTAGAACAGAGTTTTTTTTTTGTCATAGTTGGAGAGCATTTGAGGAAAAGGTTTATGGGTTAGGATCAAGATCCTGTTCTTGGTTTTTCTCTGCTTCTTCTGCTTAATTTTTATTCTAAATTTTCCATCTCATTGAAAAGTCATCCAAAAACTAAAATGTTGACAGTGACACCATTTATTTATAACTTTTTCAGAATAAGAAGTATATATTTTATGTGTTCTCTTCTCTTTAGAGATGGAATTTTCTTCCTCGTATAGCTTCACCACATCAAGAAGCGCAATGATAGTACACGTTATGGCTAACTAAATCACCAGAAAGGAGGTGGGCGACCAAGTTTTCCTTTGAAGCTCAATTGGGGTTCAGAAGATCTCGTTTGCTCCGCCGACTGGACAGTGACAAATAAGGACTCTTAAAGATGGCCATGACTAAGAACATGAAGATGAGAATGGCAGTTCTATCAATGAACCAACAAGACACCGCATTAACTCACCTATTATATACGAAGAATCCTTTTTTTTTTTTTTTTTT